GGGGCCGCCTCGTCCGTTTCTTTCACATTCCTTCTCCGCTGTTGCGGGTTCTGACGGCTAGTCTTGTTTGATAGCAGTTGCCCCCTCTGCGCCGACCCCATCCTTTGTGGCTTTGCCCCTCCCCCGCTCCGGCTCCACGATACGCCACGAACGCTCCACGCTCATTCCGTCTACAACATCAATGCACTGTGGGTAATGAATTTCTCTTGTGGTTTCTTCCTGTTTCTTCTCTTGAGAGCGATCTTTGGCTTCTCCGTCTCTTTAATGGCCCGGACACTTCGGCTTGGCTTCAGTGTAACAGGGCTTCTTCGCCTGGTCCGCGCCGCTGCGAAGGTTGGAGCCGGTCGCCCGGAGGTGGGGGGCAATCGACACGCCCTCTATAGGGCTGACACATCGTTCATAGCCCAACGTCAATCAACGACAGCACGGCGTCCGTGACAAGAAGAATCCGGGTTTTTCATCATTCTTATTTCTATTTCTGTTTCTTCTTATATTTCTTCTTCTATTTCTTCCCCCCCTCCCCTTTGTTATCATTCCTGGTCTTTAGTTACATCACCCTCCAGACTCCAACCTTCTGAGGATTATATTTACATCATTCACCTCTAAACCTCTCCGAATGCTGAAGGTATTATTAAGTTTCTCTCGTCGGCCGACTGAAATACTTGATTATAGCACGCCTGCGCTTATCACCTGCGCCTGCTACCTACCGGACTACTGCCGCCGCGATCGTTGGTTGAAGACGGCTACAGGCTCAGCCTGTCCCCTCTACCTTAGTAGTGGAAGCCCTGACCGTTACAGTAAGGGACGGGGTAGACGGTGCTGTTGCAAAGTCGTATAATGCCTTTGACGAAATCGAGATTGCCGAAGCTTTGGTCGGTGTAGGTGTCGGAAGTGAACGACGCACTGGTCGGGCGATGGCTGCAGCCGGTGAGCAGACGCCCGGTGACACGGCGGACGAGCGGCTGCGACACAACGAGCCCATGCTGGCCTTCGGGGACGGTGAAGCTGAGAGTCTGGCTGTCGGAAGTAGTCCACCGCTGGGCGTAGTTGACTGACAGAGATATGCTTAGGGCCACCTTTGCGAAGGCAGCGTTGGCGGTCGAGCTAAGGCTGACCGAATTCCCGACGGAGTAGCCTTTGGCGACGGAGACGGTGGCAGTACCACCATGGGAGCTCAATATGGGCGAGATGGCGACATCCCAGTTGAGGAACTCCTCGTCGGACTCAACCTGGACCTCCGTGCTCCTTCCGCAGTCACGACGGGCGAGGCCACCCCCCTCAGTAGACGGCACGGTTGCCTGGACGGTTTTGGGCGCAACACGCGCCAGTAGAGCGTCGTACTCTGCCGTCTTGAGAATTCTGTGGGAACCGTCCTCGTTCACGGCGACGACGTCGTCGAAACGCAGAGGGTAAGGGGCTGGCTGGGAAACAGCAACAGCAGCAGCAGCAGCAGCACTGAGTAGGCTGAATATAGCAATAAAGAACGACCGTCTCATCTTGGATGACATGTTGACAACGAACGCCTAGTGTGTTGATGGGTGGATGATGGAGAGTGATGGGGGCGAGAAGATGCCAGCTAGTCGTGGGCTAGATGAGGGAAACGAGCGTACAGCGCAGGGCGCAGAGTGGTGAGGAGGCGAGATGTTCCCGAAAAGGGACTGGACGGCCGCGGCCGTCCATATATACTTTCGGACGTTGTCCTGCTGGCATCGTTTACTCCATCGACGCCTAAGGTAGTGTAATAAGACCTGTTTAGCACCAGTATGGACTGGCTGCTGCAGTAAGGTACTACGTAGAAGATCTCATGCCGGGGCACAGACGGCACCCAGGTCCAGAATAGCGGCGGCGGCGGCCGGGCGACTTAACGAGGCTCGCGAGCCAGAGGGGCCTCACCAGGGTTCGTACGACCCGACGACGGATTTCCTTGAACCCGGCGAACGAACCATTTCCAGCAAAGGAAGCCTTCTGGCAGGGAAGGTTCAAGATGATTTTTCCTTTCCCTTGTCCCTTGTCCCTTTTCCCTTCTCCTTTTCTGTTCTTTGCTTCTTTCTCTTCATCCTTTCTGCTTCAGCAGGGGCAAGATAAAGGATAAAAGTTATGAAAAAAAAATAAAAAGAAAAATGGGAACGGGTAGACGAAGCCTGGCACGAGGACTGTTGGGAACGACAGCCACCACGCGCATGATGGCCATCGCGGGCTGCCGGACGTAATCTGGATGACTTTCGGGCCTGCCGATGCCCTGCGAAGGACCTGGCCGGCGGCTGCAAAAATCACGACTGAGATTCTACGGGAAAATAAGCCGGGGTTTCTGCAAAAGAATGTGTAGAAATTCTGCCCGGTGACAGGGGCACTCCGCCCGAACACTAGTGTAATAATTAACTTGCCCTAACGAGTGCCATCCACCGGCTGTGGACCCAGGGGCCACACTGCCGATAACCTTCAAGGCTATAGCTTCTCGACGTCGCATCTCGAACCTAGACGATAGGCAAGACGGCGATATGTAGGGTTGTAATTCGATGGGTATACGCCCTCGGATGTGGTGGACCGAGAAACAAGCCATCCAGGTTTAGTGACGGACGGGAGTGAATAGTCCGCGACACCAAAGACGGACATAGGAAGACGCGATTGAGCTTCGCTATGTCCGGCGGCGACTCCGGCCATCTAGTAAAGAAGCGACATTCTCCCAGCGGCCCCGTGGCTGGTACGTCTAGTGGATACAGTGGGCATACACCACGAGCCAGCTGAAGCTGGATGCATATCGCTTGGTGATTTAACACGCCACTGTGCTAGCTGCCGGAAGAACCATCCCCTACTACCGGGCTGTGAATATAAGACTAGATGGGTCACCTCATACTGTCATGATCGAGGATCCCGCTAGCCCTCCTCCTACTCACACTTGTCACAGGTGCCTCTTCACTTCTTTACTGCTGCTACATGTAGCCTATCCGCCGGGCATAGCGTTCTCCATCATCCTACACAGACGACCAGGTTCTCCTTGTTGTTTCCCACTGTGCAACGTAGTAGCGGAGCATCGAAACTCTCCGTGTAATGATGCAGCTATGTTTCTTGCAGGCAGCCGTCGGCCTAGCCCTCCTATCTATCGCGTAAGTCCCAAGAATCTCTAGCCATTCCACCTAGATTGTCTTAACTAACGTCCCCAATGTTCTGCCAACCTTCACGATAGCTGCGCGTGTCACAACGGCGGCGGTCCCAACCTACGTATCACCGCGAAGGCATGCGAACTATACGCCTCAAAGCAGCACCAGTGGGGCAAGGGCGAGTACGATGCCTCCTCTGGACAGGTATGATCATCTCTGGCGACCCGATTGGACAACAGCCCTAACGCATCCACCAGTGTGTGAAGTCTACCGACAGCGACCAGATCGCAGGGAAAGAGTGGGAGGCTGCCTGCCGTGAGGTTGCCGATACCGGCTTCAAGTGCGCCGACGGGCAAGGGCTGTATTGCAAAGCACCTCCGAATGAAGTTCGTGGGCGTTGCTGAGCGACTACTTGAGGAGGGATGGCATCTATCAGACTAATGGCGCTTTTGTTTTGTTTTTTTTCTCTCTCCTTTGCCCCTCCTCTCTCTCTCTCTCTCTCTCTCTCTCTCTCTCTCTGTGGCGTTTGGGGCGTTCGAGACATCCGTCTACTTGACGCAGAAGGCTGTAACTATCCAATCAACTACTGAGTGACGCCAAGTCCATTAAACTTCTCCAAACGCCCACTGACCGACGTATGTAACTCGCTGAAAAAGGACTGTCGATCTTTCGGACCAACAGCCGGTTTGCTACTACTCCCCCCTCATATACTGGCGTTATTCAGCAGTTAACGGGATAGTGCGGGTACTGTCCTCTCTTTGTACTCCTTGTGAGAACATAAACACGCAACTGACGACGAAGATGTGGTTTCTACACGAACCGCCACTATTCGGGGTCTTTAGACCAACGTATACACACGCCGACTCTTCGAGCAGGAGGGAAGGACAAGTTTGTAGACACAGACAACAAAACCGCAGGGCGCCTCCGTCTATTGGGCGTTTCCTCTCGCAAAATTCGGGCGGAAACAAACCTACAAAAGCTGTGACTGGCAGTAATTAATCCACAGACTATTAGACGTCAGTAAAAGACCTAAACCTTGAATGTAACGTGAGGGGCCTCTACTTAGTAAGCGTGAGATGCGACAAGCAACAAGGCTGCTGAGAATGGCGTGAACCCTTTCTAGAGCAGCAATAAAGATGGGATTGGGGATGCATAGCTGCGTCGTATTCTGGTCATCACCGCCCTTGCCATCTGGGCCCGCTGTTCTGTTCGTGGGAGCCGGCCTCTGGTACCCAATTCCCGCCGGGTCGATCCTGTAGAAGCTTTGCCTAACTCCTCATTAGGAGAGTTCTCTTCCGGGTTCTTGCCAGACTAACAAAGCCCCGTTTTCCGGTTCTGGCTCCGGCCAAGGCCGTTCCGCCCGTCCGGTCAAAATCATCAGGACTCGGAGCGACCGTTCGTGCACGTTACGCCCCATGAAGTTTTACTTCAGAAAGGGGATGGAACGCAGGAATCGATGGCCAGAGTCCCCACCTGGTCCTTACACTCGTAACGCGATTCCATAATAGACATAATGGCTAGCAGTGTCATCAACAGTCGACGGCAATGCCGAATGACCAAGGGTTCATGAGCGTAGACGGGCACCCCGAAGAAGGCTTGGCCGAGAACAGCAGGGAGGGGGCCGTGGTGGGTTATGGTATACAAGCTGTCAGCTCTATCGCTGATTCTAACTTTCTCAGTCGGTTTCTTTACTACTACTCTACTTGCTCCGAGACTGCCTGTTGTAATATTTCAACTTGGACGAGCCGACCAACACCGGTGGAAGTCATCTCTCTCTCTCTCTCACACACACACACACACACACACGCACGCACACGCACACATACATACTCTCATACGGAGAGAGAGAGATAAACAAACAAACAAAATACGAGATAGACCGCTATCTGGCCACCAAAAAAGATGCAGTATTCCGTTTCTAACGTGTGGTCTGTTGCACTTTGGGGTGCGTTCGCCATCCACGCTGTCACAGCACAGAATGGGAAAGACCTCCTGCCGGGAGACAAGGACGTGTGGCAGGGTATGAAGGGCGTCGATGCTTGGCGCCTCCCCTCTGATACGGTCAAGACCGGAGGCAAAGACGGTTCAGGTCAGTGATAACTGCGCGCCTCACTCTTCAGATCAAAGCCAGCAGTTCGTAATTAACTAATGCCCCAGTGACCCTTAAGGGCTCTAAAGATCGCGTGCGTTGCGGTGTTGTCCCTTACGACAAAGACGGCAACGTTTGGATGATTCCGGCGAATGGCAACTTCGACCAGGTCGGCTACATCCTGCCTCGGGGAGGCTACGACTCACGCCACGACACCACGCTCGCTGATTGTGTGGTGCGGGAGGCGAAGGAGGAGGGCGGCCTCGTTATTGACGTCAAGTCTCTAGTCCCTCTTGGGCGCAGCAATCATGGGTCGGTGTACTGGTACAAAGGCAGCGTGACGAAGCATGTCAAGCCGACAGAGCCTCGGCCCCAGCCCCCGAAAGCGTTCAAGCTCAACGACGCGCGCAAGGAGATGCAGAAGCCGGCCAGCAACCCCAAGAAGAAGGCGGACATGCGGATGGCTCTCCATACCTCCGTCTCCGCGGACGACTCCAAGAATTATCGATCGACATTCAAGCCACTGGAGCGAGGTGGCCCGAGCAGACCGGCTGGTGGCCAAGGCAGCCGCCAAACGAAGCCTACCCGGTGAAGCCCAGAGCGAATCAATCAAAGGGCGCTCGCTCCATAAAGGTAGTGATCGTAAAGGGGCGTCTAAAAGCATTGTTGGAATTGTCGAGCCGACTCTTGTGGAATCTAGTGCGTGGCCTCAGTTTGAAAGTCAGATGTGTGTTTCCTTGTGGCGCGAGAAAATGTGGATGGTCATGGGGGGATAGAACCCGACGTAGAGCATTATTTTCTTCCGTGCGGCTTTTGTATAGCTGGCAATCGCTTTTGGGGTTTGGGAAGGAATAGGATCAGGTAATATATTTTTGGATGAAAAAAAGGATCACCAGGGGCAAAATAAGCGGCCATTGGCCAGTATGACCAGCGTAGTGACAGCTTTGATTAACCTCCCTTCGTCTCTCTCATCTATCGTCTGCTACCCGTCCTCTGTCTCTCCTTTCTCCTGATTTCGTTCCGGCTCCCAAGCCATCCACGACCTCTGAAAGGTGTTAACATAAAGCCTGAGGTATGCTGTGAAGCGGATCAATATCTCCTGGCTAAATGCATCACTCATCATATAGGCGGGTTAGGTTTCACTACACGGGTCGTGAACAGAGATCGTGAGGCGGCCTCAGCGCTCATATCATGTTAAGGCATGTTTTCGTGGCGGGTCATTGTGCGGTTATGGGCTATTTGTACGGGTTCAGCAGTCGGAGTTGAGGGGCGAGTCGACTGCTTCACTTGTGCCACGATACGAATGGAGTCGCAGCCTTAGCAGCTATCGTGACCTCTGGGGCATATGGGGTTAGTTATCATGGTTCAACTTCGGTGTCTGTAGAGAATCTGGAGCCTAGCCCCTTCCGGCCGGCGCGGAAACAAATGCTGGGGCACCGGCGGTGTCGAGTCTCCGATCGAGGCCCCGGCCACGGGGTTCCCGAAGGCACCGGATAGGATTGCACTAGGCCCGCCCAACTTTTACCCCCCCCCCCCCCCCCCAAATCCACCTCCGCATCTAATTAGATTTTTCTTCCTCCCATGTGTTGCCTCTGCCGAGCGGGACCCTTTGGATCATGCTGCGCTGCATCTAGCGTATAGCAGGTCTCCGGCTTCAACGAAGTTAAGACCGTTGCGATGCTGGTACTGGTTGACGTCCGAGCTTGTCACCTCTTAGTAATTAGCCCACCATTGGCCTAATCGAATATAAATGCGCACTTGCGCCCTGAATTCGGGGTTCCCGACACGTAGGGTCCAGGAAACCGTTGACTACAGACTCATCGCCCGTGACTCTGATATCCTTCCCCGATATTTCGGTGTTGCCGTCTGGGAGTCCTCCACCTGGCCCGGAGGGACATATCAAATTGCTTGCAGCGCAAAGCAGACCAGGCTTGCGGCCCGTTGCAGCTTTCACTCTCTTTCAATCCGTCTGAACCACCCGAAATCACCTTGCACGGCTCGGAGAAGCCCTCGCAGGGGATCCTTCTAAGTAATCAGGTAAGGCAGGATGTTGTCAGTTATATCGCCTGTGGGGGGATTTGCCAGGAGGCCATCTTATTATTAGGATCTCGCATGGGGGCCTCATCCGGCTATAAGTATTATTCGATCACCGCTATCTGCTGTTGACGTCCACCAGCCTTACAGTGTATTGCTCCTCACACAGATTAACTGTTTACCTCTGACCATAATAGGTACTGGGAACCGGGGCGTCTGTCAACCCTAACCCTCTAACCACCTCATTCCTCTTTTCGCCCCCCCCCCCCCCCCTTGATCGAAACTTCGATGCGGTCTACCATGCTCCACGGCTGGACAGCCAGCTTCTCGGGCCTGCTTGTGCTGTTCACCATAGTTACAAGCGTCCTGGCCCAGGACCTCGGCATTAGGCTCGACAAAAGCGCCTACGAGAACGCCCAGCGCGTTATCTACTCGTCTAAACTCACGTTCACAGCAAACACTGCCACCCTCTTCACGGATGACCAGCTCTACGGGCTTGCCGGTCTGGCCCACACGCAAATGCAGTCCAAGTTCCGGGCCGACGGTATCGATCAGAAACTTCAGCCCAGCATGATGGCAGCTATGGCTGTCGGGAACGACATCTACCTGTCCTCAAGCTTAAAGGGTGGCTGGTTCGTGTATAACAAGTTCGCCAATTCGCATTCCAAACCCCAAGTCCGGGTTGCTCTTGAGCGATGCCAGGCACGGCTGCAAGATTCTAAGAAAGTCCCTGTCGACAAAGAGCACCAGACGCGGGCGAGCTGTGCAGAAGTCTTTACTGTTCATCAGGCAAGTTGCATCCTGCTGCATGCCAGCCTCACTACATCAAACGGTGGGTCTGCCGCCAGATGTCTACCACTAACACGCCGTTCTAGTATAACATGGACGATGAGGTGTCGCAGGAGGCGCGGAGGCGGCCCCCAGCTACACGCATTGTGGCCTTTGGAAAAGCAGGCCTAAGTGGCTCCCTAGGACGTAAGTATTGCACCTGTCTCAGTGGTGGGTAGTGTAGTCGATATGGTGCTGATGAGATTGTGACACAGCACAAAACGCCTGTGGTGGTGGTGAATCTGTCAATGACAAGGGTCTGCTCACTTGGGGATGCAAGCAGTTCATGGCGGACGAAGGCATTACCGTGCCGCGGAAGCCGGGGAGGAATGCGAACTTGGGCCTACCGAGGCCATTCCCTGCATTCACGAAGAAGCAGATCAGCATAGTCCCCCCTACCCGTCCGCGCCCTACCCAGGGCAGCAGGCCGCCGACTAGAGTGGGGCAGCCATCCCGGCCGACCCGGGCTAGACAACCACCTACACGGCCAAACTAGCAGTCCCGTGCGGATGGACCTATTAACCCAGTATGATGTTGGACTAGAGGAGGCTGTAACTGGTTAAGTGCACTACTGCTTGTAGACGAGACGAGGGGGTAAGCCGTGTGGATATAGAGGTCATAAGATCGGCGGTGGTGGTGTATAGGTCAGAAGGCCTTCCGGCTCTTGGACTGAACTAATAGCCTACGATGATACGGGGTCGGGTATACACTAGATCTGTTGTAAAAGTGCGATAGCTGGTCCGGTATAAATCCGCAGACCGAGACTTTATAAAGCCTTGATTCGAAAACTGAGTATCAGATAATACGAGGAAAACGAGCCAGCGGCGTAGGAAAACACCTATCCTCCCGTTCTGTGAGCTAGATGAGGGTGCGTGTGATTGGGGTTGGGGTTGGGGTTCAAAAGAGACCTGAAGGCAGCAAAGCGTGCGGCTGGATCGGAGCTGGCTACCAGGAAACATTGAATCGACAACGATGCAATGAGCTGTAGAACGGAGACTGCTGCGGATAGTGTGCAGGCAAGCGACCGCCTCGCGGACGATGCTGCCCAATTATATAAGTTCATAGCGCCACCTAGGTAGCCCACTCTTCCTCCCTGTTTCCTTCTTTTCCCCCTTTCCTCTTATTTTTCTTTTGTGTTGTTCCCGTCTCAGATTCTTTGACGGAAACTAGCCCCTTCATAGGTATCATGAGCAAAACCCTCGTTGTATCTTCAATCGCTTCATTCATCGCGATGATCGTCATAGGTATATTCTGTCTCAATGTCGGAATCATGAGACGTACATGTAAGCTGCGCCCTCTGGTGCCGATGCGGCATCATATTCTCTCCAGGATAGGCCTTTGACCAGATAGATATCTTAGGGACTAGGCCTAAGGTGGAACTGACCCAACACAAAGCCAAGGTTCGATAGAAGCGAGCTTAATGCCTTAAGGCGTGAGTCTGTATTTACAAAAACGTAAAAGTAAGCTTAGCTGTTTACATGCCCAGCTGGAGGCTACGGAGAGCGAAGGCATAGTCGTCATAGGACTAGCGCGGCAGCGATAGTCCATCCATTGCGGACGACGTGTGTGTTGAATAGGCTACGAACCACAGCTCTCTTGGTACCTCTAGTCATCTCACGGTTGTGGGTAGGAGAGCACCCGGCTACTTTGGTACCTATGGTGCCCCGCCGCTATAAGGGCGTCTGCTTAGAAATTGATAATTAACCCTGGATTTCGCGGGTGTTTTATTTAAAGACGCTTGGAGTTACTAAGCAGTACACGTCGTTACTTTGACTACCTCGTTCCCTCTAAGACCTGACGTCTGCTCCTATGTGTGGGTTTGGCGGAGGAGGCGATTCCTTGTTTGGTGGCGGCCGCTGGACATGTATCCCAGGGGCTGAGAAGTTTCACAGCTTCTGCGATCGTCTGGACTGCGACTTCGACGCTGCGGGATCTTTGCTCGACAAGGACGTTCCATTTCAAGGACAAGTTCACATCCGCGATTCAGATCCATAGGGGCCGACCCTGGACCGACTCAAACCACGACGGTCATACATCCCTATTAAGTGGGATAGTGACGCGGGCTCCGGATTGGATGGAAATATGACACCTTGCCGCTTGCCCGGTTGCTTCCACCGCAGGCCAATCAACGAGCTACTGGAGGCGCGGCGCCAAAGTGCAAACTAGTAGAGGCCGACGGCCCTATAGAGACTCCTCTTCTTCTGCAGCCCGCCGGGAGTGGGGGCCTGATATGGCCCTGGGCATGTACTGGACAAATTTCCGGCCACGGGCGTAGCCTCTGGCCCGGCTGGTCTGCTTATATCCGCTGGCGGGAACTTCTGTTACGCAGGCGTTGTTCATCAACGCAAGGGCATCGTTGCAGTCGACGACACGAACACCAAAACTCTGGACAATGAGCCTGTCCGTGACCCTGGGATATCCGTGGCAAGCCCCTTGTAGATGCTTTGCAGCCTCGGCGAGGGCATGCTGTCTGAAGCGAATGCCGTGTTCGTCACAACTATCACGCGTCAATATTCCCCCCTCGGACCTGGTCCCGCCTCATCGGCCGCTAGCTTGGAGGGAACGTACCTGATGATGTAGTAGAGTCCATTAAACTTGATGATCATGCTCTTGGCCCCGGCGGCATTATGGCGGCGAACCTCGTCGATGGTGGTCGTTCGAGCCTCGGCCTTTTGAGCGGTGGTGAGTCGCGGGCGCTTCGGCGCGACATTCGCGGCTGAGGGCTGCCTGCGCTTCGCCGCACTCCTCCCGCACTGCGGAGCCAGCCCTTCTGGCGCCTTTGGTGTGCTCCCAACGAGGCTGGTTGAGCCCGTCTCATAGCCTGGACACGCGAAGTGGCGTCTGTCACGGCCGGTACTCCGGCAGGCCTGCTGGACCTGCTGGACCTGCGGAGATGGCAGCACTACAACGCAACCGGGTGCGCCTTCGTGGGAGGCTCTCGAGGTTGCAGCAGATGTCCCCAGCGGACCGTCCGGGGGGCGCTGAGCCCCGTCCTCCGGCGGGGTTGGACATACTGCGGGCGGCGGTCTCGCAGTCAGCCCTCCAACCGCGGGAGGAAGCGAGTGTCCGCGGGGCGTGACGGGATCGTGGGATGCGACAACATCGGACCCTCCTCTAGGCTGAAGGTCGCTCGCCCGACCTGTCGCTCGGGCGGGAGGTTCTCGTTCCGGCGTGCCTTCGCCCGACCCCAAGCCCAGTATCGGCATGATCTTGCTCGATAATGGGAATCGCCGGTGGTGGTGTAAGAACACCTCTTTCTCCTGCCAATTAACAGTCTCCAATGACCGGTCTCGATCCAGTTGGATCTGTTCGAGGCGCCCGTGTCGGATCTCATCTTGATAACGACATAGGAGTTCGACGACATCCGAGGGCAAGATCTGACAGCTGATGAGTCGGGCCTGGTTTGCCAGCTCGATTCGAACGTTCTGCTGCGCGCGATCGCAGGCGGCCCTAATACGTTCTCTTGCCTCCTTGAACTGCAGCCTGTTGCTGTCCAAGGTGGCGAACCAAGCGTTCCGCTCCTGCTCGAGTGACTTGCGTTCGTTCTGCTCCCGAGATTCGGGGACGAGGCGGCTCTGCGTTGCCATGTCGGCGGTCCCGCGGTTGACGTCGAACATCAGCAATAGGTTAACTATTGTTGAGATGAGGTAGCAGTGGCCGAACGTGAGCTGTGTATGTCGGTCCGGCCAGTGGGCCGGTTGCCGTCCAGCAAACCGCGGAGGCCTAGCCCGGTCTCCCTGCACCTAAACTTGCTTCTCGTCAGTGATGGGGCAATGTGCACATGAGAAGATAGTCTGGTCCGGACGGTCTCGGCGGTTGGGCAACCGCGTTTGAAGAAGGCGATGACGAGGAGCCTCGCGACCGCGCGGTCCTGCTTGAATATGTCAGATGCGATCGAGATATCCTCCATCACAGGATCAGATCACCACATACCTTTCAGCTGACGGAGAGGCACGACTAGGGAAACAAGGCCCCGGAAGGGAGAGCGAGCCCGCGAGAGGATGAGGGGAGCCCAGTCTAAATGGGCTTCCCACCAGACACAGTATTTGAGGTAGGACAATAAGGTAATGACAACAGAATGGTCTGCTTTGCTCCTGTATGTGTTTGCTGGTGCTGATGCTGGTGCTGATGCTGGTACTGATGCTGGTGCTGATGCTGGTGCTGATGCTGGTGCTGATGCTGGTGCTGATGCTGGTGCTGATGCTGATGCTGATGCTGATGATTGCGACTGTGATGAAGGAAATTGGGGGTCATTTCCACCGCTAAATCTGATCGCCAAAGGCCCGCCGCGCGCCTTATGTTGCGCGAAGGTGCTTCTAGCGTGTGAGGTGTGGTGATGCCCCACGGGAGCCGTCCCCTACCGGCGGTCCCCGCCAAGCGACATGGGAAATAGCCTCCATTGTACATAAAGAGCTATATCTGGACTGGTACGTAGTCAAGCTGGCTTTCTGCGTGGCTGGCAGCAACTCATGGCTCCGGAAGGCCCGTCCTCCTGTACAATAACCTGCGGTCAGCTGAACCTGCGACCCCATACAAGAGATGAGCTCGTGGCGGCATCCAGCGAGCATTTACCCGAAAGACTGAGATTGCCCAACGATGCGGGAAATCTGCGGCGCGGGCGACATTACAGGGGTTCCTTGGCAGCACCAAGTCCCATTCCTCTATCCTGCATGCCATCATGTGTATATCAGCAGGTTGAGTCGGCGCTATGGGGTGAACAGGGCATCAAGCAAAGGTATCCCATAATTATGGCTCCCACACCACAGATATCAATCACATCCCCTACCTTCCAACCCTTTAACCCTAACCTTAGACCAGCCCCAGCTGTTCAAAAGTCCTATCTTTACCCACCTGGAACCCCCCGAATGACTCCGCGCATGTATTCGATTTTTTTCTGGACCTCTGGCGCCCGATTTGAATTCATTGTTCTTCGGGTCAGCGTGCACACAGTATGGGCGTGGGTGGTGTGGATCGCTTTGAGAGTCGGGGGCTGGTGCTGTGGCTAGCCGCACGCAGGCAGTGGCGTAGCCGTGTGGATCCCGGATAACCATGTCGGTTCGATCCGTCCTGAATACTCAAGGTCGTATTCGTACGGGTACACTCTGATTAGCTGTCACTGCCCCGAGCGGCCCGGCTGGACCTACAGCCCGGAGCGAACGGTATACCTATCCACTGTTTAGGCTCTAGGCGGGCTGGGCGCAATTGGGACCCGGGCATGGATTGCCCCAGCATGGATAACGCCGCCTGGGGATTCTCGGCCCCACAAACGTTTCAGATAGGCGTCCGTTGTTTTTCTCGGCCCATATAATCCTTGTTGGTCGTGAGGCTGTTGTTGGAAACGGTTTGGATGTTGCCGCCGCGGACGCCCTGAACTTACCACGTTACGTGCCTATGTACGACCACCACACAACGCAACCTGCTGCTGCTATAGTATGAGTAGGTTGGGATGAGGCTTGGCGCATTAACGTTGTGCAGGCAGCACGCTGTCTGACGAAACCTCCCCAGCATCCACAAGTCGTTCCTTCGGACGGCTAAAACCGACGACACTCAGGGACTACCTAGGCACCCAGCTCCAAGAGCTTGGGCCGAGTGATCCCTGCATAAGAGGTGGACTAGGCCTGTGTATCATAGACGCATGCTGCCCCTAAGTAGCGGGTCAGCTGCATGGGGAATTCCGACTGTACAGGGGGCTATGTAGGGTAGAGGATTGAATTTAGTTTCAGTCCAGTTAGAACCGCCGCTTAACTTAGTCCTAGTTTACTTTATACTAAATCAAGGCAGGAACCAGACTAGGGTGAAAGTGAGACTAAACCGAGTTAATACTAAGCCTGAACTGCTAAACGAAAGAAATTCAGGGACGGCGCTATAAGGTATACACTGGTGGATTTAAGACTTACTGTGAAATACAGGAATAGTTGACCCTCCGAGGTAGATGGGCGTATGAGTTGAGTTGTTTATATCTATTATATTATGCGTATAAAGGCAGCAGAGTATTGATAGATACAACGTAGCATTACTACTACACGTGTGTAGTATACTACAATACTACACGTTGTAGTACTACTGTGGTACTAAGAGATTTTTTGTCGTATACTACATGATACATACTGCAACGGGGCAAGGGAGAAAACTCATCAATCGTGCTGGGTACTCCACTTAAGGCGAAGAAACCCCCTGAAAACGCCCAAACACTTATGCATCGATTTTCTAGCCAACCACAAGAGATATAAAGACGAAAGCATGAATGTAAGCCTGACCAAATTGTGCTTTATCTATAACTTCTACTCTTTCTATACCTTGGGTTGTGCAGTCTCTTAGAAGAAAATGGGCTGCTGAGAAGAAGTTTGGTGGCGTTGTCCCTATAGTATTCTGTCCTTTCTTAGCTTAGAATAATCTAAGAGGTACAGCAGGGATCGAGGGAAAGGATGAGAAGCAGGGGTGACTGAGGGCAAAAGAGCCTAAAGACGCCTATTCTTATTCGGTTTTCAAAGGGTAGGACTTGGTGAATTCTTTGCTATGGGTTGGGCTAAGGGATCTCGATAGCTCTCTTGGAGAACTGATCACTAGAGTCATCAAGAAGAACGGAAAAATATACCAAAAACGAGTGTGCTTCTTGCTTGTTTTCTGCTTGGTCCTTTTTGTCGTAAGCTGACCAGGCCTCCGTCTACTTATATAGGCTATTTCCTCCTATGATAACACCTAACGCCGATGAAAACGGCCATCTGACCTCTTGCCTTCAAGTTTAAATTGTCTAAAATTCCAAGAGCTCTGCCCCCTTTTAATACCTACTTGGAAAACCTGTAGTATAGTTTATAATATAAACGTGCGCTTATAGTAGTATAGTATAATACTACAGACCACAGCTTTAAAGGCATTTAGTTAATCATAATATATTAACTAGTTATAATCTGATAATTGCTTTTTTATATACTTCCTAAGTAATACCAATTCATAGTATAAATTACATTACTATTAATTATAGAATGCAATGAACTATCAATTATTCTTATGTACAGTTATAACATCATAAGTTTTATTTAACTATTAATATAAGTATTTAATTATTTATGTTCAGCTAATAAAAGAACCTTTTTCATTATCATAACTCATAGAAGTTTGATGTTACGAGCAGGTCAGGGCAACCAACTGTGGCAAAAAGCAAAAGCTTCGGTAATGACAAATCCGTTGTCCTTATCCCCTGTTCTGCACCATATAGTTACAATCCTACAGGGACCAACTGTAGCGGTCGTAACATTTGACTATAACTATGAATACTAATATATCACATTATGTATCATATTATAGCTAAAATGTAGTACAACTTGCGGTATGCGATGTACTATATACTACAACTACGGTAGTATGTAGTGTAGCTGTAGTACTAGAAATTTCTTTATAGTAGGCTACATACTACAACTGCATGCAGCATGTAGTACTGTAGTACTGTAGTATGTTACGACCCGTTATGCAGGATAACAGTTGACCGACCCACTTGGGCATCGGGCGGCTAGGACAGGACCTTTGTACTGCAGGATCACGGGAACAGCAGGGACTCACTCGGAATACGGAAGAACTAGGATACA